ACTACTCACTGGAGATTCTACTGTCTTCCAGGCCCTCTGGATCTAGGTTACCTCTTGAAAGCTTGTAAGCCAGTCACTTCTTACCTTTGTAGCCCCCCACCCCCCATTTTGGGTAGCCAATGTCCAAATTGCCCATCCCTGTCTACTCTGTGTGTGGAGGGGGTGGGAATGATTCTTGCTTGTTCCCTCTTTTGAGCTACTGCTTCCATAGGTGTAGGTCAAGTTGTTTGTTTGTTTACATTAATACAAGTCGTACCATCTCTGGTTGAAATTATATCAAAGGCAAGATTCCAAGCCTTTTTTATGCCCTGTGAGCAGTCACATGTTGCCATGAGGCCCCTCCAGCTGGCTCAAGTAGCCCCATTGAGGAGTCCTTGCTGTTCCTCATCCAGCCACTCCCATACTTGGACCCTAATCCTTCCTTGACCTGTGCATTACATATTTGTTGTTAAGTGCCGTGGGGTCAGTTACGACTCATAGCAATCCTGTGTAGGGTTTCTGAGGAGCAGTTAATGGGCTTGAACTGTCAACCTTCTGGTTCAAAGTCCAGTGCTGATTCTATAGTGCCATACCAGGAGTCCCAACCCATATTTTCTCCCTCTGGGATTTAGTGGGAAGATGCTATACAATTTATAGTGGGTTCTGCCATCTGGTGGTGTTTGTTATTGTTGTTAAGTACGTCAAGTTGTTTCTGACGACCCTGTGTATGGTTTCCAAGGAGTAATTGGTGGGTTTAAATGGCTGATCTTGCGGTTAACAGTCCAGTGCTCATCCTACAGTACCACTATCAAGTCAGTTCTAACTTCTAATGACCCTATGTACAATAGAGTGAAACAGTGCCCAGTCCTGTGCCATCCTCAGTGGTTGACGTATTGAGCCCACTGTTGGAACCACTGTCAGTCCATCTTGTTGAGGACGTTAACACTGCTTCTACTAAGTAAGCGTGATGTCCTTCTCCAAGGACTCATTCTGCTATCCTTGCTTCTAAGGAGTGTCTGACTGAACTTCTAAGATGGATTTGTTTATTCTTCTGGAAATCCATGGTGTCTTCAATATTCTTTGCCAACACTGTAATTCAAAAGCATCAGTTCTTTCTCTCTTTATTCATTGTCCAGCTTTCCATGCATATGAGTGGTTAAAAATACCCTGACTTGAATAAAGCAAACCTTCGGGCTGTGAACCGGAAGGTCAGCAGTCGAAACTACCAGCTACTCCATGGGAAAAAGATGAGGCGATCTGCTCCCATAAGATTTACAGCCTCGGAAACCCTATTCAGGATTGCTATGGGTCAAAACCGACTCAACAGCACTTAACAACAACAACAAGTCCTAAAAGTGACATCTTTACTTTTTAACACTTTAAAGAGGTCTTCTGCAGCATACTTGCTTAGCGTAAGACCTCATTTGATTTCTTGACTGCTGCTTCCATGAGCATTGATAGTGGTTCCAAGTAAAATGAAATCTTTAACAACTTTGGTTTTCTGTTTATTATGATATGAGGATGTCTATTTTATGTTGAAGTGTCATCCATATTGATGGCTGTCCTTGATCTTCATCAGTAAGTGCTTCAAGTCCTCTTTACTTTCAGCAAGCAAAGTTGTATCATCTGTATATCACAGGTTGTTAATGAGTCTTCCTTCAACATTGATGCTGTGTTCTTCTCAGATTATTTGCCCCACATACAAATTGAATAAATATGGTGAGTCACACTTTTCCTGATTTTACACCACAGTGTCCTCTTGTTCTGTTTGATCTATGTACAGGCTCTGCAGTAGCACAACTGAATGTTCTAGAATATCTTAGTTTTCACAATGTTCTCCATAATTTGTTATGATCTACACAGTCTAATGCCTTTGCATAGTCAATAAAACACAGGTTAAAAATGGCATGGGGGTCACATCTGACCTCATAGTCTGACTTCACAAGAGGTTAAAAAGAATCAAATTCAACATCAACTCAAGGCTGATTCCTAAGAGGTAAAGGTCAGACATTCCACCCTTTAACCTTCTTTACCAATTCTGACACACCAACTATCTTTCCCACTGCACTCTGCATCTCTGCTGGGCTGGATAATTCATTGCAGTGGCCACACAGAACTCACAGACCATACATACAATTGTGGGTTTATTAGAGACATTCACAGGTTATAATCCAGGATCAGAAATGTTCAGGATTCAGTTCTTCCAATCAAGAGAGAGCCTCTCTCAGCTGTGTCCACAGGCACTCCTCTCTCTCTCTCTCTCTCTCTCTCTCTCTCTCTCTCTCTCTCTC